AAGCCAGCCTTCGCCATGAACGACGTCCCAGCTCCCAACACGGTGATTACGTGGGCGCCGTTGAGCCAACACCGGGAGGAGAAACTCATGGCGTCATCGTTCAATTTCGCTCCGAGAAGTAAAAACAAACAGAACGTGAGAATGACGTAGACATGGCTCTGACGTTGTGGCTCAATGTTGACTGGTCCGACTCCGTGACATTAACCGCGCTGATGATTGCGCCTCGCATCGCTCGCTAGAGTTGACATATTTCAGCGACTTAGATCATTTTAAAGTTTTCTAGCCAGTTTATTAAATATATAGACGGAATTAGATGGTAATATTTTACATGTGCTCTTCCTATATGTTACTGAAGAGGACTGCATAGTTTTCTAAATATCAAAAATGAAGCGGTGTTTCCCTTTAATCTTCAGCTTATCGTACGATAAATATACCTTGTTCCTCTTTTGTTTCCATTCACACTATCCAATAGCTACCACTCTATCACACTTACATTTTTCATAAAGTCTTCGGTAATAAAAATTCTCGTTACTTTTCTATTTTGAAGCGAAATATTATTGGTCTTGGTTTTGCACTAGACATTATTTCAAGAAGTTTAATTCTTTTCGTCAGATGCAACTTCAAGCCTAATTTCTTTCTTTTTGAAAATCTGTTGAACTTCTTTGTCCAGTACGTATGTATTGTTCTGATTCGCTTACCGATTTTGCTACAATTATGGATTACTAAATTATTTCATGTATCTGTTTTTTTTTTCCAACAATATAAATTTTATTTCCAAACTTCTTCACGGTCGTTCCTATAACGCGCTAGTTTCTGTTGTGCATCACTAACTGTTGGGGCGAGATTATTTTTCATTTCAACCCTTCAGTAGAGCCCAATCTTTTTATAAGGCCTTTTGTTTCAGTTTTAGCTATATGGGTTATGTTAACAGCCACGTGTTTTTGAAATTCAATATATTCTAGCATATAATCGGACCTTCATTCTTTTCGCTGTTCTCACCCCATTATCAACAAAAGCGCACCACAATGGAAAGAGGAGTAAGCAATGCTTGTTTGAACGGTAAAAATATTCAGAAAGATTCTCACATACCTGTATGTAAGAAAAGAGCGAACGGTAAAACAAGCCTACTGCGCTGTCTCTTTACCCCCTGACAGGTGATCGGTGTATTTTCTCATTTATATCCCTGAAGGTTGACATGGATGTGCGACGGGAACTGTTCATTTCCAGATGTAAACCTTGGTTTGAGTTCTCGTGAGTGGACCTATTCAGATTTTTTACAGTTACTCTCTGGATAACGAGCACGTCGTTGACTGCGTAGTTTTGAAATGTGTTGGCGTTAGCATGACGAGCGAGCGTGTATTTTGCAGCCGAAAATCATTGGCGCGACAGCAGCAGCAGCCGAAAACTGCGTGTAAGAAAAGAGCGATGTGTAATACATGTCTCCTCCGCTGACGACTTGCACTGATAGGTAGATGCGCGTTTGTGTGTTTAGATAATATTTCTTATTGTACACGAAGAGGAATGTGACCTAGAATAACTTTTTGGCGGACACAAATATTAAAAATTATCAAATTATTGTTTTATGATCTGGACCTGACTTTTTGTTTAGTGACGCTAGATGGGTTTACTTTTTAGGGGATACCTCGCACAGAAGATGAAGATTCGAAGGCAAATTTACAATCCTGAACATATCAGTGTTTATGCGTACCGGTTACTATACGGAAATAATGATGGTAGTCACGGGGCAAACATTCCCATATACGGGGAACGCCAGACGACGTGTATACGGTATGTCGTTGCCCAAAAAACATTTTTTTTTTTAGAGAAGCGGACTATACACTTTAAACTATACCCGATTTCACCTCATGAGACATAGTAAAAAAACGGCGCATAGCCGACCGTTACTAATTTTTGCCTTTATGGCAATAATTAAGAAATATGAAGGTGTATGCTTGATTAGATATCTGTTATCTTATCAAAACATACACGTTTAAAAAAAAAGCACTCTTCTTTTCCTTCGAAAACCCAATCTCATCAGAACTATACCTCGCGCCACGCATGAACAATGACCAAAACTTGCTTTGTTTTTTTTTTATTGAGGTGAAAACGGGTTTACGCGTTTCTTTCTCTTGAACAGAATAACGCGATACCCTCTGTACTCTCGCCACTCAGCCGTATCAGACTTGGGAGTCTAAATTTTGTTGTAATCAACGTCTTGGCTGAAAGGCTTCAAAAACGCTTTTGATTTGAGAAAGCTTGTTACATATTTTACTCGCAACTAATGATAGAATTGGACTGGACGGTCCTAGACGGCGAAAGAGTATTTAGAAGCCGAACTGGAGTCTGAACAAACTACCATGATAGCAAACATTTATCCGGACGCTTACGTACGAGGAAATGGCTAGATAAAGCAGGCAAACCTCGTGGCATTGATAAAGACAACATATCAGAAACCTTCTATTCAGGGTTGACAGATCCTTGACGTCGGTTGCGATATGGGGAAGTTCACAAGAGATGTTCTACTGCCCAGGCATCATTGTTAGAGACTACGCATGATAAAACCCGACAAGCGCCTACACGCACTTCCCCGACTTTCTGATAAATCAACCTCGTGAATCGCAGGGGCAATGGACGGAGCGCTTCGATACATGTCCGCGCCATAGCAAGCAATAAAAATAGGCCCGTCAATTTTCCTGGCAGACTTGTTTCTGTACAGCTCTAAAATCTTAATGTTATCATTTAGCGACAAAATATACGTCTATCATAACTGACCGAAATGTGGCCAGACTGGGAGGAGCGCAATGAGAGAGTGTTCTCGCGCCCCCAAAATAATGCACCTCTCCGTCTGTTCAACGTACACTTTTCCACAAGACAAGGGGATCAGATACACCAGACCCTATGCACAGGCGCCATACCGGTTGTGCTGGTTAACCTTGAATTCTGTTCCCGGGCTTCCACTTCGATTGACAGCTGCACACAGACGCGACAGCTTGGATGGTGCCGACAACATTACTGGTACGATATTCATACTAGCAACTTTCTTAAGTCTTTTCGTAAACGTGGCCACATGCCATCTATCACCGGTGATCGATGGTTTCCAGCAGAGAGGGCAGTAATGACATTACAGTAATGGAATTACAGTAATTAAATTACTTTTTGGAGTAATGAGTAATGTAATGAATTACTTTCAGGCAGTAATTTCGAAAGAATTACTCATTACTTTTGAAATTACTTTTGTCCTAAATGATGCGGTTATTTGTCAATCTTTAAAGAGAAGAGAAAACTTATTTTGCATGGGGAAATGTTACCAAAGAACATCAGACGAAATGAATGACGGTCACTTGAGCGCAAAGCCTTATACGAAGAGTTGGACAGACGCACAAACGAGGGCTGGAAAGTCGAAGGAGAAAAGCTTACGTGTAGACATCGCTGGAAAGCATTTCTTAACAGAGAGGATTGGGCGAGTTGGTAGCTCATGATGTACAGGGGTGTGTATGTTGACTCGAGTGATTGTTTTCCGGGTGCGCTGTTCCCCCTGTACAGCTGGAAAGCAACGGCTTACGAACTCCAGGCACGACAGATTCACGGCGTCGCGTCATTATTACGATACTATACTTCGTTCATCCCTAAGCTTACAGTGCGGTGGGCGCTGCAAGCTCACCAGAACCAATCAAACACCTTTCTTTAATCATGTGTCCAGTCCATTTCTCTGCGCGTGGCTATGAACAAGAGCGTGGTTACGTGGCGAACGATGGACGTGTGACTGCTCCAACGAACACGTAGCTTCCACCGTTCAGCCCTAGGCTGACAGTGCGACAGTTTAGGGATGAACGGCTCGTAGGCTATAAGGCGATGGTCACATAATTGGAGAGGTAAACATAATTTAAAACCTGAGAGGACAGGACAAACAGATCCCCAGCCGTGTTCATTCGTCAAGCAAGGTTAAACTGTAAGCTTCAATCAATCAACCAATCATTTCTTATTTGCGTCTGTACACTAATACAGGCACTGGAGGCATGAACAAAAAACCGACAGATGTCGGTTTGACGAGGGTCACACCCCCTTTTTTAGCTAACGGCAAGAAATCAAGAGAAAAAAAGTCAAATACCTAAAAAACATATTCACTGTAGCAACAGTAAAAATACATGTTTAAAAGTGGACCATAGTCTACAGTGTCAAGGAGAAAATACACGCTAGATTCTAAAATACAATTGTATGACATAAATATTCACAGAAACATCAGTTTTAAAGAATGCGATGTTAAATATTCGATGATAATGTTATTTTCAATTAAATGCTTTAGTAAAAAAGGAAGACGATGTTTTAGCATTTGAGTTCCATAGGTAGTTCGACTCGATGGTATCATCCATACTACTTCGTGACATACGTTACGTTATAAGGTATAATATTAATTCTTAATTATGTTACTAATGTCAGGCGTCTCTTGTTTAATACTTGCTATATATCGAATAAGTAAAGTGTACTCTTACAGTTTGCTGAAGCATAGGACGTTCAATGATTTAAGCAATGGTTTCGTTCGGGTTAATTGTTGTACGTCGATTATAGCTCGGATTGCCTTCTTTTGAAGGATCGTTAATTTGTCCAAGTTAGTTCTAGTTGATGTGCCCCAGACCAAGTAAGAATAATTCATTGTGACATGAATAAATAATTGTATATGAGAAGCTTAAAGGTGCCCTCCGGAGCTTTCTGCGATCGTCTGTTTATGTTGTTATATTGCGTAGTAGGTGCAAGTTAATATGTATACAAAGTTTTAGAGTACAAAACCGTTTATTAAGTAAATGGCAGTAGAAATATATCGTTACTATTTTCTCTTGAAAGACAATCGCCCATTCCCTGGCCATCGCTAAAACTTGACCAATGGAAATGCTGCATCTCGCGGTGAATGCGAACGTTATTATTGCAATACTTTTTAAGCTTGTTGTAAATTAGAGTTTGAGAAAAACGTAAACTGATTGTGGTGCGGGAAACATAGTTTGCAATTATCGTTCTAAAGCCAGCGAACTATGTTTTCTCCCCGCAAGCTTGTTGCTAGGGGGTGATGCGTCGGCGCGTCGGGTCGTCTGCTTCCCGGGGCGTGTGCAAGCGTGCGTTTGCGACACACGTGTTCGTTCTTCCCGTGGATCCCGACTCCGAAGCCAGCTTTGCGATCCTTCCACGTGAATGAGTCAAACGTTTCCTTGTCATCTGTGGAATGCGACTGCGTATTGCAGTAGTTTCTTTTATCCTTTGAGTGAGCGATTTCCCTGAAATGCCGAACGTTTGTTTCGTCAAGACGTGCCGCCATCAAACTGGGAAGAACGTTCGCAAGGGCTTGCGATTCTTCTCTTTGCCGGAGAAAGAACCACGAAGGACTGCGTGGTTACGCTGCGCGGGGCGAGGGCACGACATCGAGAACCTGCCTCTCATTCCCCGTTTTTGTGCCGAACATTTCGAGCCGACTGCTTTCCGAAAGGACGACCTGCGTCGTTCCCGTCTTCGATCAGATGCTGTGCCGACGCTTCTGCTTCCCGTCGCCGATGAGACCGACGATCCTCCCCCAAAGCGCCAAAAAGTCGTGGTGAGTTTTTCGATGGCTCAAATATTTTTGGGAGTGTCACGAACATGGCATTCTGCGTTGCGCAGTGCGGCTGCTTCTGGTATCTATATTCTGAACTAAGAACTGAGGAGGCATTTGTGTAACATGGGAGTCCACATGGCATTAGTCAAGTCGATCAGTGGTGCCTAATGTTCCGGACTAGCGGTTCGAGAGCTTATCGCGCGAATGGTGCGGTGCATGGGGTTTTCATTTTCGGGTTTTATATTTTTCAAAAATCGGGGGGGTAAAAATCGGGCGCTATTTTTCCGGGCGATAATCGGGAAGAAATCGGGTTTTTCCAGAAACCATTCCGAAATTCGGATTTTTTTTCGGGATTTCTTTATCAATTACGAATACGTGCAATGTGTTATTTACATGAACAAAAGTGAACAAAAGTAAACAAAATATATTATATAGGCATAGGATATGTTTCTACCTTCTGATCGGCTCTGAAGTGAATCTTTGCGGAGGTCACGCAAATCGAAGAAAATTGTAACCATCAACTGATGACCAAGGAAACACCGTTTAAACAGATCCAGAATGGTTCATATTTTCTATCAAGTCCTGTGATTTCAACACTGCTTTTCGGGGAGAAATCGGGTTTAAACCGATTTTCATCAGAACTATTCGGGGGAGAAAAATTAGGTATTATCGGGTTTTACCCGAAAACGAAGAACCCTATCAGCATGCACCATCTGCAGGATCGAACTCATTTGTAAAAAGAAAACACGAACAAATAAGATAAAAGGACAGAGTCATAAATCGCCTCTAATGGTACCACCATCACCACCCCCCTCTGCTATTGACCCACCCGAAGTCAATACATGTTTTCCCAGCTTGTTTACAGACAGGAACCCTTTCGTGTCAGCTTAGCAAAGTTCCAAGTGTCCGTGACTACTAACAAGCAGGTTTTCTTTTATATCTACTCTTGTGAGCAAACTCAGTTTTTTTTTTCTTCTCACAATCCTGCACCCACGATTGCGTGCAAACCCGCGTTTGCAAATTTGTATGCACATAGCAAATGCACGCCATGATTTTGTTGCTTGGTGGCACTTCTGGACACTGAGAACTCATGGCAGTTGCTGTATGTTTCCCACTTGCGGCTATAAATGCTCGTTGGTTGCATTTCCTTCAGTGGTTGGTAAATACATGTCAAGCTGCAGCTTTACGTATGTATGTAATGTGACATCATATCGCGACATAAACATTTATTGTTGCTGAGCTAGAGACGGAAAATATAGATGGTAATGTAAGTTATAAAAACAAATATAAAGAGTGAGGCATCCCTTAGATTTGTATTACAGTGAGAGCTTTGGTTGAGTGCATGAAATTCTAAGCTATGGAAAGGCTACAAAACAATTCATGGATGTTTGCCATCAGCTAAAAAACTAGGCATCATGGATGTTTGCCGCGGTGACGGCATTGTGTGGAGTGCTCGAGTTGCACCCTTCAACCTTAAAAATATGAAATGTGTAATAAACAGTGCCCTTTGCAGACTCAGGCCTCGGCAACTGGACTGCCTGCACCCTGCGAGGCAGAAATGACCCTCAGGGACTGTACTGCTGAAACAAACATCCCTGCAGTGGTGCCACCTGTCCCTGTCGCAGACGTGCCTGCACAGTCGCATCCACCCGAGTCTGCCTTCTCCACTAGTAGCAGTGGGGTGCCATATGAATGCACATCTCCTGTTCCCAGCAACATGCCAGACTCTGACGCAACCTACTCTCCGTCTCACAGCGAGGATTACGAGAGGTAAGTTGTGCATATAAACACATAGAATCTGTAAAGAATGCTTCACATGATCCCATTTCAGAATCGAGCATGGTGCATCAGCTCCACCACCACCACCAGAAGAAGAGCGCCAGTTTCTGGTGTTCGAGAGCTGCCTAAGGGAGCTTTTCAAGACGTGCCAAGAGTGCTCAAGACTGTGCCAAACAACGATCGAAACTACCGGCACACTGATCACAGTCTACAGCATCTGCCCTGTGGAGCACGTGCGCACATGGAAAAGCCAGCGCATCGTCAACGGCAGACCAGCAGGGAACATAATGCTGACCAGCCACCTGGTCTTCTCTGGAGTGAAGATTGCCCCTACGCTGCGGATGCTACGCCATATGAACGTGCAGGACATCTCCGACTCGAGCTTCTACGAGCATCGGAAGGCCTTCGCTCTACCTGCAATCCACAAGGTGAGCAATATTCCGGGACACTGCAGCTGCATTTTTTTCCCATATACCCAATTTTCCAATGAGGTACAAAACTGGAGCCCCAGTCACACTTCGGTTGAATGAATAAATATCTTCTTGTAGTATGCCACTTCAATGGTATAGTGCTAAGAGATAAAATTTTATACATCATGTTACATATGTGCCATGGGCTACTAAATCCACGATACTTTAATTTATTTCTGCTATGTGTAGTATCCTGGGGCAGTTCCCTGTCTGGCATTGGGTTGAGTGAGTCAGGTTCGCCGTGAGAGTCAAGAGACAGAGGGTGGTTGTTAGAATGGAAAAGGGTAGGGCAGCTTCGAGGTAACGGGCGGCCTGCTGCCTCTTTTATGAAATACACAAACATAAAAACACAAATCACAACCTAGCACAATCTAAGTCACATTCAAACTCGCTGCAGTGTGCTTTCCTTTTTCTTTCACTCAGTCATTCATTCTACAACACTACACTATGCATACATAAACAGATGGGACTATTGTAGTATGCTCCATGCCTTTCTAAAGCAATATTTATCTGCATGAACAGGTCTGGTTACAAGAGCAACAAGAACTTCTCAACGAGTTGCAGAACAAAGAGGTGGACATCTCTGCTGACGGGAGATTTGACTCCCCTGGGTTCTGTGCCAAGTACCTGACGTACACAGTCCATGTCGAGCAAATCAACAAGATTCTACACTCTGTCCAGGTCCAGCTAAAAGAGGCAAGTAGTCGGATTTACGTGAACCAGTTGCAACAATCTCATAATCTTTCTCTTGTGTTATGTCATCAGTTACTTCACTGCTATGCACTATTTTGGTAAAATATTCATTTCACACCTTTCTTTAGTCTGAACAGGCCATGGCCAGTGTCAACATGGAGAAGGAGGGCCTCCTCAAGCAGCTGCAATTCTTCAAGGAGAAAGGTATGTTCATGCTTAGTTCATGTTTATCACTACTCGGCGGCCTTTCAGGCACTCTGTTTAAATTGTCATAATCACTTATTCTTTTGCTACCATCGGAAACCTAATGGTGCAGGTATCAAGATCCGATCGTTGGTGACTGACCGTCACCCTGCCACACGAAAGCACATGAAGACGCATGAACCCGGGATTGACCACTTCTTTGACATATGGCACATCTCCAAAAGTAAGCAATCCTAACAGGCCATTCGTGTAGCTTTTATTTTCCAGCGATCACGCTGCAGGTTTCCCTGACACGACTCTGAATTTTAGGTGTGAAAAAGAAGCTGACAGCAGCAAGCAAACGGGCTGGATGCCAAGACCTGCAAATCTGGATCCAGACAGCTACAAACCATATGTACTGGTCAGCAAGGGCTGCAGGAGGCGACGAGAAACTGCTCATCGACATCTGGCTCAGCATGCACAACCATGTCATCAACAAACACCAGGGGCACGAAGGAACCTATAGAAGGTGCCTCCATGGTGACATGCCAGAGCCAACACGACCATGGATGGATCCCAGTATGTTTTTGTTCTTCCAAATGAAGGTGGTTTTTCTAAAACTTGTATCATCCTCAGACTCGCAGGCCTACAACCAATTCAAGAGCATCACTGGCAACAAACTGCTCCTGAAGGACCTTGCACAGATGTCTCCACATGGCCAGACATATGCTTTGGAGGCGTTCCACAGCGTCCTGATAGACTTCGCCCCGAAGTCCCAGGCTTTCAGCCCAGAAGGCATGCTTGCAAAGTAAGTCAACCAATTTACAATCACATTTCCTTTGTTTGGACACTTTCATCCAGTCCATTGGTTACAATGCGACAAACCTGACAGTCTCTTCCTAATGATCAGATAATGGAATTGGATTGATGCCAGAATAACCACTCTGTGTAAGTGGCACACTTTACCATCACTGAAATGTAACCATCTTGCAGGACTCGACTTGCAATCCTCCATTTCAACGAAAACTCAAACCGCTGCCAAGCCGTCACACGAGAGGGCAAGCCACGTTGGTCGGTCGTAACATCAAAAGCACGAAAGGGCCACCACACAGCACGACCAGAGATTACGGATCCCACTTACAGTGAGTATAACACTAACTGCAGTGTGAATGCCTTGTCCAGAGAGCATAGGAATATTATCATGCAAAGGTTTGAATTCTGGAGTATGTTGGAAAGCTCATCAAGGAGGCAATGGAGAGCAGCAAACAGTGGCGGTCCCTGGCTGCTGCATCGAGGGCCAACACCGTCGTCTTCCCGGCACCGATGACTGCAGCCTACACAAGGCCTCCAAAAGAGGAACTCGTGGCAGCACGAATGTCCAGGTTCGGCCACAGTCCCCAGTAACGGCATCAAATCCCTGGTCGGGACTTCCATGCTGCCGCAGGTAAGCACACAGGACCTTGGTCCTAATCAGGGTGCAGGATAAGCAGGTGGGGAAACGGCCCATAGAAGCCTACCGCAGCGCCGTGACCGGATTGTGTACTCGTCTGCTTGCGGGTACCCCCGATTTGCAACAGATGGCGCTGCGGCGAGAGGAAAAAAATCGGAATCGGATTTGCATGGAACTTTATGGGAGAGTGCGCAAAATAAACAGAGAGCACGACAGTCTTTATTGAAAATCCACGAGAAACCATCTCCGTCAGTTTAGCCAGTCGCCACCGGTCGCCCACCTGGAGTGAGAGTTTGCGGTGCTCCACATCGATGGCGCCACAGAAAAAGAGAAAACCGAGGGGTACACAATCCGGTCGCTCATTTGGCTCTCGTTTCCCCACCTGTCTATCTTACACCCTGGTCCTAATACAGCCTTGCATGGTAAGCAACCGCTTTGTTTTGCAGGACGTACGGCGAATGCAAGCAGACAGACCCAAGAGAAAACAGCCGAGCTGCAAAATGGTTCACCATTTTCCAATAGGACACCCTGACCGACAGTAAGGAGGAAGTTAGATCTGTCTGCAATCATTTTTCACAGAAATGCAGATCTCTCCTCATGAGAATGTTCCATTTTAGGGCCTAATCAAGCTGGTCATGGCATGCCTATCTCAAAAGAGGGCAAGGAAATTTAGCCGGTGGCAATGTCGGAGTCACAGAAAAGTCACCAAACAGCGAGACTCAAGGCTACAGCTCAACTTGCGGTGAGGACGACACTAACTTCAGTGTGAACGCCCATCTAGCCCAACTTGGAATGTCTAGGAATGTAATTATGCAACCGTCTGAATTGTCACTGTAGGTTGGAAAGTCTGTCAACGAGGCGGACAGCAGCAGGCAGCAAAGACCTGGTTGGATCTTTCATGCTGCCAGTGGTAAGCACACAGGAGCCTCGTCCTAATGAAAACTACCATGGTAGGCAATAACCGCTTTGTTTTGCAGAACGTACGGCGAATGCAAGCAGACAGACCCAAGAGAAAACAGCCGAGCTGCAAAATGGATCATCGTTTTCCGTTAGGACACCCTGACCGACAGTAAGGAGGACATTAGATCTGTCCGCAATCATTTTTCACAGAAATACAGATCTCTCCTCATGAGAATGTTCCATTTTAGGGCCTAATCAAGCTGGTCATGGCATGCCTATCTCAAAAGAGGGCAAGGAACTTCAGCCGGTGGCAATGTCGAAGTCACAGAAAAGTCACAAAACAGCGAGATTCAAGGCTACAGCTCAACTTGCGGTGAGGACGACACTAACTTCAGTGTGAACGCCCATCGAGCCCAACTTGGAATGTCTAGGAATGTAATTATGCAACAGTCTGAATTTTCACTGTAGGTTGGAAAGTCTGTCAACGAGGCGGACAGCAGCAGGTAGCAAAGACCTGGTTGGATCTTTCATGCTGCCAGTGGTAAGCACACAGGAGCCTCGTCCTAATGAAAACTACCATGGTAGGCAATAACCGCTTTGTTTTGCAGAACGTACGGCGAATGCAAGCAGACAGACCCAAGAGAAAACAGCCGAGCTGCAAAATGGATCATCGTTTTCCGTTAGGACACCCTGACCGACAGTAAGGAGGACATTAGATCTGTCCGCAATCATTTTTCACAGAAATACAGATCTCTCCTCATGAGAATGTTCCATTTTAGGGCCTAATCAAGCTGGTCATGGCATGCCTATCTCAAAAGAGGGCAAGTAACTTTAGCCGGTGGCAACGTCGAAGTCACAGAAAAGTCACAGAACAGCGAGATTCAAGGCTACAGCTCAACTTGCGGTGAGGACGACACTAACTTCAGTGTGAAGGCCCATCTAGCCCAACTTGGAATGTCTAGGAATGTAATTATGCAACAGTCTGAATTTTCACTGTAGGTTGGAAAGTCTGTCAACGAGGCGGACAGCAGCAGGGAGCAAAGACCTTGTTGGATCTTTCATGCTGCCAGTGGTAAGTACACAGGAGCTTCGTCCTAATGAAAACTACCATGGTAGGCAATAACCGCTTTGTTTTGCAGAACGTACGGCGAATGCAAGCAGACAGACCCAAGAGAAAACAGCCGAGCTGCAAAATGAATCATCGTTTTCCGTTAGGACACCCTGACCGACAGTAAGGAGGACATTAGATCTGTCCGCAATCATTTTTTACAGAAATACAGATCTCTCCTCATGAGAATGTTCCATTTTAGGGCCTAATCAAGCTGGTCATGGCATGCCTATCTCAAAAGAGGGCAAGGAACTTTAGCCGGTGGCAATGTCGGACTCACAGAAAAGTCACCAAACAGCGAGACTCATGGCTACAGCTCAACTTGCGGTGAGGACGACACTAACTTCAGTGTGAACGCCCATCTAGCCCAACTTGGAATGTCTAGGAATGTAATTATGCAAGTCTGAATTTTCACTGTTGGCTGGAAAGTCTGTCAACGAGGTGGACAGCAGCAGGAAGCAAAGACCTGGTTCTATCTTTCATGCTGCCAGTGGTAAGCACACAGGAGCCTCGTCCTAATGAAAACTACCATGGTAGGCAATAACCGCTTTGTTTTGCAGAACGTACGGCGAATGCAAGCAGACAGACCCAAGAGAAAACATCCGAGCTGCAAAATGGATCATTGTTTTCCGTTAGGACACCCTGACCGACAGTAAGGAGGACATTAGATCTGTCTGCAATCATTTTTCACAGAAATGCAGATCTCCTCTATTGATAATGCTTGATTTTAGGGCCACGATCAAGCGTAATGGAGAGATGCAAGCATTGGCACCTGCCCTCTCAAGCCGGATTTTTCAAGCCCAGCATGGTGCACCTCTATTGTTGGCACATCAGTGCCAACAGTAGAGGCATTAGGAGATGAGGACAGGCCAGTGCTATAATTCTTCCCAGTCCATTAGCTGTAATTAGGGTTCTGCGTTCTCAGATAAACCTGATAAACTCCAAAAAACACTAGCCGTTAAAATTTTGCTGATTCAGATTCATTTGAAAAACTCAATTTTTCGGTCTGCCAGCTGTTATAAGCCCCATCAGTCTTTATATTTCCCGGAATCTTCGAACAATTTTTGCAATTCTCCTCTTATTGCAGTGTCAACTTCCGTTGCCATGTAGCCCCTTATAATAAAAATGAGGTAGGCCCTCTACGACAGTAGATGAATACGGCTCTCATATGAAAATACTGCTTTACTAAATTCACAAACTGCTGTTTTCTACCTTTCATTTGCCTGATCGAAAATGCCGAAAGACTCCGAACTTTGCGTACATAAATGGAAGCTCCAAATTGATGGTTCAAAAAAACAAACAAAAAAAAAACACCCTCTAATTTTGCTAAAAAAATTAAATTCAAGAACGCAGGATCCTAGCTATAATTTGTGCAAGCTTTCAAGATCGAGGAAATCGGTGACCGTATTGTCATATTCATTGTGGGCACACCACAATGAAGGCGGATCAAGTGCTATTTTGAATAGCATGTAGTTCTGCACCAGAGATTCCATCCCCAGTTCACAAGCTTAGCCCATCGCAGCAGTTTTAGAAAATTGAAGTATTTTCGGAACCCAACCGACACTTTTCTGAAGACTGTAACACAATGCCTTATCCATCTTTCTTTTCATGTGCTGATGAGCGGACATGCTGTGGAGACTGCACCGAGGCGGGGCAGCCCGCCCGTGTTTCCAATAAATGGGGTTTTCATCCAGGAGGTAGGCTGGTAATGCAGCGATAACATAAGTGGGGTGGTTGCATATAACACTGGAAATATTAACAGAAGTTTTTTATGGCAATTTAAAAACAGTGCTGCATTTTCCAGTCTACACCACGGTTTTCCCCCCGTCTGCAACATTTGTCTTCTGTCAATATTGACCTGCTTGCAAATAAGTGAGGCACATTCGCTAACCTTACGATTGAAATAAACTGCATTAATTTTCCAACAACTTGACTTCTCGGTACCAGAACCTGGAAGGTGTAGAAATTTGCATGACCAAAAGGAAATAATTTCATAATTGAAAACAAGTGATGCCGATGGTAGTACTAATTTTGTGATCCCCTGGATGATTTCTGCATTGTGAGGTCAATACATGGGTCGATGTAACTAGAATACTGCACTATGCCTAACGAAATTGTGCCATTTCCTCAAAGTATTTGCATGATGTGAGGGTATACTTGCCAATTATAACGACAATATAAACTAACAATCGTAGTATTCACTGAAATATATAAGCAGATCCTATTTACCACCAGGAGGAAAAATCCAGGGTAGCTGGGCTGTGGAGGCATAGAATATTCCATGCAGGGGATCTATTGTGCATGCTCAAAAAGCATTCCACAGCCAAGTAAAAAAAGGATTTCGCAGAAGGCTTGGACTGGAAAAGTCTATACTAGAGCACATGTTGAGAGTACAGTAATGAAATGTAGGTTGGCAATGAATTCTAAATAAAAAAAGTAAAACAATTTACAGCATGCCTATAGTTGGTGACAGGTCAAGAACGAAGTGGAAGCTCCTCCCACCTCTTTCCACTTTAGTAGAGCGAGTGCTGGAGAGGAGGCGACCTCCTCTCCGTCGTTCACTGCATTGAAGTGGACTATAGTCGCCCAAGCAGAACGTCATTTGTTTGTCATGTTAGCCACGTCGTCATCCAGACCATCAGAACAATCGACCACGTCCCTCTGAAAACTGCAGCAATCGCAATTCGCCTTTCTTCGCCTCATCGCACCGGCACGCTCAGACGGCTGATGTAGGGAAGCATCTTGTAGCTTCATGCAGTCAGATTTTTCCAGGTTATATGCAGTTTTTCCATTTGAAAGAACAGATCCAGAAGAAAGTAGAAGTACACTGCACAACACTGTTAGTGCGAACATGACATCGGTGCTTTTTCTATCTTTACTTTAAAATGGTATTAGTGGGTGCCAAATTTTACTGCTTAGGTTAGTGTTCCAAATGAGCACTTCTCACGCCCTAGTAGTTTTGATGACAGCCTTTGGATTCTAGGAGGAAAATGAAGCAATCCGGTCGTGCGACTGAAATCAAATTTGGGGGTTTTACGTGCCAAACCAACGACGGGCATCTGGCACGCCCCAGCGGAGGACCGAGGATTAATTTCGACCACCTGGGGATCTTTTGATGTGCAATCGAAAGCTCGATTACCAAGCTGCCTTCTCCGCAATATACCTCCATCAGATTGCAGGCACCTCGGCCGGGATTCGAACCCGTCACATGGGGATCCGTAGGCCGGCACTCTCGCCTCGGAGCCACCGAGGCGGCTTCGTCGTGTGACTGAATGTGACGTAGGTGCACTGGCTTTGGTTTGACTACGATCATGTGATCATAGTTATGGTCACGTGATATCGTAGATAATAGGTCACGTGATTTAGAGGATTCCGTTCATGGCTACGAGCGACTTCACACACATGCAGGGAGGGTGAAGAGACAAGGGAAGGGTGTTGCGTGGTCTCTAGGTCAACGCAATTTATTCTGCATCCCTGTAGCCCGCATACACGTCAGCAGGGTACCTGCCCCTAATTGTCTTGACCACACAGGATGGCAGGGGCCGCCTATTCTTCTTTCCCAAGCGGCTCCACAGCCACAGGGCACACTGCCTGTAGGCTGCAAATCTGTAGTGCCTGGAACAATGACAGAGATTGGATGTGAGAAGCAAAGCCTATCACTCTGTTGGCAAATTCTACACTTGTTTTCATTTCTCTAGGCATGTAATCATACTCTGCTTTTCTGTTACGTCCACTCCAGCTATCACATAGCAGAATCCCTATATAGCAGTCCATGTCGGATGGGCTAGACATGGAAGCCAAATTGAAGTGAACTGCTGTAGATTCATTCTAAATTCTCCAGAGTTTAAAAAAAAAAAACTATAGGCCTTGGTTCTTTTAACGCAGCTCCAACTCCAATCGACACAACAACCAGTTATACACCGGAATTAACAAGGAAGGAATATCTGTTGCGTGGTCATGATACATAAAATAAGTTCACAGGGTCCCAGTTCACAATTGTAGATAATATCTGTCATTGGTGTTGGTGACGAATATTGCATCGCTGTGTTTTGGGAAGGACACATGAAAATTATGTGCACTGGCCAGAGGGAATGGGAGCCATTCATCCAGAACAGTGGAAAGCTCCCCATATGATGTTGTTTAATTTGGGACAAAACAGTGCAGTTCGTAAGCCTGTGAAGTAGTGGTGTGCAAATATTGGTTCGAATTAAATAGTGCACTGTCGTTTCTAGCATCAACAGCGCAAAAAGAGCCGGTTGCATCGGCTTCCCTTTGCAGCGCGAAGGTTATGGCAAACATACTATTCAATTTGAACCAATATTCGCACACACCTACTGCAAAGGTTTCCTGCACACAAGTGCCAGGGAATGTGAACTCATCAGAGAACGTCCCAATTTAACATTGTCTAAAGTGCTGCTGGCACTGCCGAAGCTTGGCATTGGTACTGGTGATTAGGGATTTGAGAATAGCAGCCTGGCCATGAGTGTTCTATGAAGCTCGCACAGAACAGTTTTGGTGTAAACATACGAGCTGAAGTGCTCATGCAATACTGGAGTGGCTCCAGCAGTTGTGATTTCATGTCTCTCCGACACAATCCGTGTCAATATCCGAACATGTCATTCTGACAGCTTGCATTTGCCATGACAGCTGCTACCACCCCCATGTGTTTATTGGTCCTGAATACCTTAGGGCTCAGGGCACCGCAATCATTTTCTATTTGGTCATATACGCATCTGCAAGACACATATATCAACATTTTTTCCCGTTTTAGACTGCGATATGTCTTCCATTATGCTGTGTTGATTTAGAGGTGACACTACTATCATCTGAGTAGTGGGGATACATATGAGCACCCCCAGGCCTCCCCATTCTTGCACGAGAAACTTTGAATTTCAGTGTTTATTTCAATGAATAGTGTTGTTAGAAAAATATTTCAACGAAAAATGATGCGATACTGTTTGGTGACCTATTCCAATCTCGAATCCTTTCTGTCATACTCACCCATGTGGGCACTGCAACATCATCTGTTAAAAAAAAAGCATGGATCTCGACGACGACAGCCTGCTTCTGAATAAGCTGTCCAGACATGGCACTCCTAAAAAACTATCCCAGCAAAACGTGCAAAGAATGCCACACCAGCGGTGCAAGTGTTGCTGGCACCACAAGGAACATGTCGAGATGATCATCCACCGGCTTCAGGGTGTCTGGCATCTGCATCCAAAAATAGTGTAAATCAAGACCCAGACACCCAATAATTATCACCCCACCTTGAGATTTTGGCTTTTCAACTAGATCAGGGGATTAAGGGATCGAAGCTAGGAAGGATTGGAGGGCAGGACGCCTTGACATGTCTCTGACTGGGGTGTTTACTGCCCTATATACCTCCCATCGACCAAAAGCCGTCCCAAAGTGGCAACAAAATATGTTACGGGAGCCAAAGTGTCATGCTGTCAGATGCCGGCAAAGTTACGACAGAGAAAACGAGCAGATGCAAGTGTGGCTGTTGTCGTGGCGTCCCCCCTTGTGACAATCAAGTGAGCACAAACTATTGTGCAGCTCTTGGCACAGCAAATTAGGCAGCTGCCATACGCACATGGACTCTTCTGGCACCGCCAAAATTCTTGACGTGGCAGATTTTTATAAAAAAAGTAAGCAAACGTAAAACAACGCATTGCAAGCGTCCCGGCTGGTGCCTTTGTTGCAATGATGTTCACATGCACGTAAAGGCAACTTCGGCAGGCTTGCAGTTACACGTGCTTCGTCGCGCGGGCGGAGACAACGGCTGTTTGACCGAAACCGAAACCATGCCACTCCGCGCTCCGTCGCCAACTGCATGGTTCCCAAAATAGTATGCAAAATGTAACTGTCCAGCATACGACAATAAACAGTCCAGCGACTTGTGCTTGCCAGGCCGGCAGGCGAGGTACAGGCTAAACACACAGAAAAAAAGAACCTGAGCGTATTGATGCAAGACACTGCGAGTCAAGGTCAAAAAAGTTCTTGGAGCGCTTCGTGCAACGACTGAACTCGAGACAAACAAGCACGCTGTGCGGGTTCAGCGTGCAGACATTGCCTTCTTTGCTTTAGCTCACTTCTCTTCACCAACTTTCTTTTGCGGCAGATTTTTCACGTACCGGGGTCCCTCTCGTAAGAAAGCCCACCAGGAAAAACCTAAGTAATCAAAACTTCGCCAAGCAGTCATTGAGTTAGAGAGGGATTTTTATAGCAGCGTATGATTTAAACAAGAGCAGGAATGTCGATGCGTTTCAGTTTAGTAAGCGCCATATCTGCAGCGACGTGGGGACGGCAACACACGACGTCGCGCGAGCGCTTCAGCTCAAAAAGTAACTCCCGCCGCGCAAAAACGTGGTTTTGCCTCACAGCATGACGGCATGTTTGGCACCCGATACACCAACGTCTGAGAGTCCGCACACGCCCGTGTCTACCGCTAAAAAAAAATAAAAGACGCGAGACGAGATTCCTGAGACGACGAGTGCACGAAACGCGAGACGTCGGGAAAAATCATGCAAGACCAAATGGACGATTAATACAGGGTACTTTGTGTCGGGTGGCGTCTTGTGCGACCTAGCTTACGCATGCTCAATTACGGTTCTCAGTTTCGTTTCGTTTATGAAAGGCGACCAAAATTGCTTCTTTGGCGCAGGCTTGGCACGGATTAGCCATATTTCGGTGAAATGTAGCAGGATGTAGCAAAGTTAGCCCCTTGGTGCAGTTAGGCGCAATTGGCGCAGCAATCACATCCCTGCACTGTTTATAAGTGTGTCTCAGCCACGCCTGGACAGATGCCTCCGAGTCATTAATGTCCGCAAAGACATCCTCGCGTGGCTTTCTGAATACGGAGGGCATTATGCTCATTGACTGCATGTAACCGGCCACCACCATCAACATCGCCCCGTATGTGGCTACCCTCAGGTGATTGCGCGATTCACGAGAAGCTGCCAGGGAAAGGGGCAGCAGGTACGCTCTTGCAGCATGACAATGCCCATCCCTACATTCACCGTACTCCCTCAACCTAGCCCGCAGTGACCATCAGCCATTCAGCACCATGAAAAAACCACCTATGAGGACCCTATTTCATGGACACTGGTGAACTCGAAGCGGCTGTCCAGGCGTGGGTGCAAAGCACTCCCAAAGAGTGGTCCCGGAACGGAAAGGCTGCCACACTACTAGAACCAGTGCGTTCGTCTCCAGGGGGACTACGTTGAGGAGGTCGACACACCTACCGACCCCTAAGTGGACAATATCTGCGGAAAAATAAATCGTAAATCAGTATGGTACGCCCCCCATATGGCTGCACTGCCTTGACAATTATAGTATGGGAAGGAGGAAATTTTTTATTTTTTTGAGTGCATGGCCTGCAGTGGCATAGCCAGAAATTTGTTTCAGGGGGGTGTTTTACATTGCTGGTGTGTGTGTGGGGGGGGGGGGGGGGGGGGAGGGGGGATACTTTGCATCGCTGGGCGAATGGAAGGTTTCTAGTTCGCATTGCCATTGCATTGTAAACGGTGCACGAACCAGAGCAATGAGCCTTCAATGACTGCCTTTTTGTGTAGTTTCTTGACCAAAAAGCTTGCAAACACCGTCTAAAGCCCCTTCTGACAATTTGGATACTGGAGTAAAGAATATGACTTTTGCCGATAGGGTTGGAATATAAGTCTCCACTTGCCTTCTAGAGGAAAGACGTAGTGGCATCCATGGACTCAACAGCAATCTGTGCCTATGTCATCGTTCTCAAGTTTTTGATTGTTTTGACCAGAGAACAATGCACTCGCTTGGGACACCCAAAAATTGAAAGGATGCATTATCGAAATGCCAAAAATAAAAAAATGTTGAAAGAACAAACCGCCGAAATCTCTATTAGCCGAATCACCCGGTACCAGAGACCAAACAATTCCAAAATATTATGTTCAACACGAACCTACAGGGTTCTAGATTGATTAGTGGAAGAAACATTTGTTCTGCCAGAGGAATTCTTTGTTTGTTGAATATGATCTAATAGTTTGTGTGTATTTCCCAAAGAGAGCTAAGGATGTTGAGCTTGTCCCAGTTGCCCAAAGCGGCTGTCAGGCTCTCTTCTCGCATGCTTTGCTTCTTGTGTGGTAGATGGCGAGGTTCTAATCTGATTTCTACCTCGATATCGTCTTCGAGCGCAGCTTGCACATTTTTCATGCTCCTAATTTTGCAGAAGACACTTCCATGATTCCAACACACTGGTGCAGCTAGCATCTGCCAATACCGTACCAAATATGGCGATCAGATATGTACGCATTCTCACCTTTCGGCGTTTTGCTGTTTGGCATTTTATTTTTCGACGTTTCAATGTTTGGCCTTTACATTTTGATTTTCGTCATTTTGATATCGGCCCCTGTTTTGATGGGCTTGAAGGTCACACGCAGAGACTAGACCAAGTAAAAGGACGAGGATGTCTGAGCTGAAGGTGCCAACTGTATTGTCGACGTTGACAGTGCACTTGAAGCAGTTGGTGTTTGTTTCTTCTCAAAAAGATTGCCCAGCATCAACTTAGCTGGCATAGCTAAGCTCATTTTTAAGATAGCAACAAGGCATTGATGCATGCAAGATAAAGTAGGTGTATGCAGTTTTCTGAACTCTTAGCTCTGAGAAACAAAGTGACTGGAGCATCCTTCCCCAACACGGTTGCGAATTACTGCGTCAATATCATAACTTCGTGCTTATTTATTTGTTGCTTCAAAAGTGTTGTTCTGTAGTATAGTGCTGGTCCAGTCCATGAAGCTAGCAGGAAAGAATCTGGAAACAGTAATTCTTCGTTTTTCCGAACTTGGGAAAATGCAAAAGCTACGGCATCAGCAAGCCAATCGGGGCGTGTAAGAACAATGAATGTGACAACGTAATGTCTTAGTGTACTCCTCCTGTGGAATTTTGGCACGTGCTTAGCTCCGTCGCTCAGACTGGCCCACAAGGGCAGTAGCTTTCACCCTTTGTTGAGTTATGCTAAGACAGAAAAGCAAGGAAACTGCATGAGACGAATACAATCTCGGGAGTGAGTTAATCTTCGCCTCTCGTTGACAAAGTAGGACTTTCAAGCCTTTGCGGCCACCTGCTCTCTGCGAGCTTGTAGAGGGGCTTCAGGCGCTAATTCGGCTCTGTTCAGAGACACCATTTGAGCAAGCTGCGAGCCAGACTTGGGTTTCTGACACGGACTGCGTTATCTTTGTCGTTTGCGCCAAAGCCAAACGTGTGGGATATCCACTGCTCTCTTGAGAGACAGAGAAAGAGAGAGAGAGGGAACCTTTATTAGTTACACCATAGTCCGGTGCTTGATTGGGGCCACCAGTGCTCACCCGGTACAGCATGGACATGCTGTACCAGTAGGAGCAGTAGTGTATCAACGAGTTGAAGCTGGGGGGGGTGAGCCAGCCTGCCTAGTCAGAGGGTCGAGAAGGGTGAAAAAGAGGGAGGTAAGGGAGCATTGGGCATGGGGACAACGCCAAAGCATATGTACATCCAAGGTGTCGCCTTCTATTGCTCTCGACGAGGCGAGGCCGTCTCGACAAGAGACGAGGCCATGTGACTGTCATATATTTCATAGTGCTATTGTTGCATAACATTGCATCTAAACAGAGCAAGAAAATGACATACCTAAACTGATGACCGCAAATGCAAGGAAAAATAGCTCTCCATGATCTGGCCTAACGGGAAGAAGTGTAACGCTCGAAGAGGGCGGTCTCATCAGAACAGTTCGTAAGAACATATAAGAATATGTGTAGTTTATAGTGGGACAGCAGTTGGAAGTGTCCGTGTTTCTGTATTGAACAAATGACTGGGTGGTAACTAGGCAGGCTGCTTCTCATTTAGTCTCTTGAAAGCCTCCCTGGAGCGCTATATTGCGCCTGGACAGTGGGGCTTATGATTCATTTTACTCTCGGCAACACAAACAATTCATCGACCGCTTCCCAGGATGGTGCTAAACGTTCATCTAGCCTAACAACAAGTTATTACAAGTACGTATGTACGCTGTGAATCGGACAGTGAACGTAGTTGCCGAGGGCACGGTCCTCACCGAGACATGGTGAGTCTGCTCACGCGCAAAGCATGACATCGTACTCACTCGCTGGCACTTGCGCCCATCCCTTGCTGCCCGTAGTGCCGCATGTTGAGGTAGGCCAACCTCAACACCTCAGGGTTGAGGCACAGGGCCTCGAAGTCCGGGTGGCCCGTTACGCAGCCCTGCCGGCCCTGCTGCTTCCGTGCGACGGCCGGGTATTCGCGGCAGCAGACGCACTCGACGACGGTCTCCATCGGCGCGCAGGAACCACATAGACACCTTCGCAGAAAACACGCATCAATTACCCATTAAAGCGGGGTATAATGGAGCGCACCACGTACCAGTCCGTGTTCCCAAGCCGCCCGGTTCCATCGTTGGGTGCGTCTTCCAGCTCTTGCGGACTCGCTTCACCGCGGCGCGGCCGTTCGTCGTTGCCACAGTCGGTGCCCGCGGCGCTGCGTTCGTCGACGTCGCGCATCGGGGTCGAATCATAGGATATGGCACCCATGTCAGCTGTCCGTTCCAGGATTTCGAGCTCTAGAGACGTTAGGTCCGAAAGGTCCATAGCGCGACCGTGGGATGCGACGAACGACGAATGCTGAGCACAAAGTCCGGGCAACTTTGGTCCGGGCCCCTTGACGACGGTCCGCGCGTTGGAGAGATTCCTCCGCGGGTCGGCGGTCGGTGACGCGCAGTGACACTGGAATCCTTCGATTGCCATTGGCTGATGCGTAAAGAGATGCCCCTCCCGTTTTCCGGGGTCATCTCAGAAAGGGGGGCGTGCCGGGGACTTTGATAGCAATTTTAATAGGGAAATCCGCCGCGCATGACTGTAATTTTACGATTTTTAGGATCCTTAGGACCCATAGATTGAGTTACCGCCATATATAGACCATCGCAGAACGCTCCGGAGGGCCCCTTTAATTTTGACTGGCAAATTTGAACGGAACTTGTTGAGAGTGGCAACAACACTTGAATTTTGTTTAATTATACTTTGAATGTGGGTGTCCCATGACATGCCTTGATTAAACATTATACATAAGGTTTTTACATTCGAGAAGACTTCAGTGATAGAGGGGCCAAGTTTTAGGCTCGAGTCAATATTTACCAATTTATTATGTGGCTTAAAAATAATCCCTTCTGTTCTAGATGTATTAATTAGTAGAGCGTTTGCTTCACTCCATTTATCTAAATATTCCAGTGTGTTTTTGTGGTGTCTGCAAGTGTGTCGATATTGTCAGCTGAAAAAAGTAGTGTGGTGTCATCAGCATAAATGATGAAAGTGGTGTTTGGGCTAATCGTTACAATGTCGTTTCTATAAATATTAAACATAAGTGGGCATAATATATTTCCTTGAGGGACACCTGTTTTTAAAGCTTAAAAGTCTGAAGAATAGTTTATAAAAACAGATTGCTTACCAAATTCTAACTATGATGTTAACAAGTTTAGGATTAGTCCAGGGAAACCATAACACTGAAGTTTATTAATTAAGGTGCTATGATTTATGCGATCAAATGTTTTAGAGAAATCAACAAAGACACCAAGAGTTAAAAGTTTTTGTTCGAATGATATTAAGATAAATTCTTTATGATTTAGTAGCGCGAGTTCAGTTGATCTACCCTTCATGAAACCATATTGTGATGAGATTATGAGCGAGAAACGGTCACAAAAAGAAGCCATACAACGATGAATAATTTTCTCTAGGCACATCGAAAACACAGGAAGAATGAAAATTAATCTGTTCTTTGAATTATCGTTTTTGTCTCCACCTTTGAAAATAACTATGACTTTCGCAATTTGCATTTTTTTAGGAAAGATTCCGGATGAAATTGAAATGTTGAAAATATGGATAATTATGGGTGTTAGTATGTCCAGTACATATTTAACAGGCTTGAATGGAATGTTGTCAATATCAGTACATATGCTATTTCGAATTGTGTTAAACATATGAAAAAACCTCATGTTCATCAGCGGGGGCGAAGAAAGTGCTGCTCTCATTCGGTGTTTATAAATAACTTGGTGCATCCCAGTTTTCTGTGCCCTGTACTATGTTTACAAAATAATTGTTAAATGAATCAGCTAGGGCCTTTTCTCGTAAATTTGATTCTCTGACCTTTATCTTGGTGACATTGTTTAGCTGCGCTGACCGGTTCAATAATTTAACAATTGTTTTCCATGTCTGGTCTGGCCTCGACATTGAGTGGCCATCAAATAAGCATAGAAGATAGTTATCTTTCAACTTTCTCAGAAGCTTTGTCAACCGATTTCTATAGACTTTAAAACAGCATAAATCATCAGGATTTGTGGTCTTTAAAAATTTTCCGTATAGCTTCTTCTTTTTCCTTATGATTTTTAAGCATTCTCTGGTTATCAAAGGTTTTTGTCGGAAACTTTTTGGTCAAATTGGCTGGTATTTAAATGCTGTGTTGTATATACGCGTAAATGTTGTTAAGAAGGTATTGCATGCGTCATCAGGATTACACAAGTTATAAATTTCATCCCAGTCTGTGGTGTTTTCGAGGGCGGTTGCGTTTACATTTTGGAACGTTGGAAGACCTTCAGTCTTATTTTCTTTGTTCAGAGTGGCGTGGATTGTAAACATGTACAGTGGCAGATGTTCGCGTAGCTGTGCGTTGATAACTCCGCCAAACGTGTTGCGTGGATCAGTGTTAGTAACGAACAAATCTATGAGTGTTGATGAGGAGCTTGTTATGCGAGTTGGTGAGGTAATAACATTCACGCAACTAGATTCAAGTTTAGATGCAAATGAACACTGCGCACTCGAGGGACGTAGCATATCTATATTGAAGTCGCCGCCAAGAAAAAGAGCACATTAAACCGACATTTACGAGATCGAGAAACCTCTCTAGGTGTAAAAAGAAGCCTTCGATATTGCCATTTGGGGGTCTATACATAACACTAAAAACCTTGTTCGCATTTCAACGATAATTCTTCTAGGTCATCGGAAAGAAACGGAAAACACGGTAAAATCTCACAGCAAAGGGTATTCTTTACATAAACCAGCACTCCCCCGCCACGTTTGCTTTCACGGTTTAAAAATATGTCTTGTAGTGATTCGTTTTAAAGCGGTACTCCGCCGATTTTTGAGCTACCCCAAGTAACTATATTTTCTGACTCCCCGGCCTTTACCCTTTCTGGTATGCTATTTAGTATCGTGAAATTCATAATAGTTATTGCGAAATCGGCAAAAGAAAGTGATGCAAAAACAAACATTCAAATATACCCGCCCTTTTCAGGGCCGTGACGTCAGTGGAAGGTTAAGCTTGCCAGTCGGGCGAGCAGTCTAAAAAATAGAATATGCCAATCATTTGTTCCGTGCTGGAGCGCGGGGACTGGAGCGAGCTTCCAAAGCATTCATTTGACACCGTGGAACTGCTTCGAATCAGTTGGGAACAAATTCTACAGTCCAAAGAGTGAACCCCAGCACTTCCACTGACGTCACTTTTTCATTGTTGCCAGTAGAGACTTTCAGTTTGAAAAACACAGTGAGGACCAAAATTGTAAATTCAATCACTTCGTGGAAAAAAAAATTATTTTGACCTAATATTTGGGATACTATTTTGGCGATGTTGTTTGGTGAGTTTAGCAAAATTTCAAGCAAATCGGGGACCATGAAGATATCGGCGGAATACCCCTTTAAGGGGATACTACAACGAAATTTTGGCGCTCATTTTTTGGTCTATATGTGTTCAAAAAAGCAGCATCACATGGAACATACCAATATCTTGTTAAAAAAGTCACGAAAAGAAAATTTAAAACGAATTAAACGTTTGGCAAAGAGCACCTGGTGGATGTCGCTAAAGCCTCGCTTGTAATGCCCGTCTAGGAACCTTGGCAGCTAGTGACAGAGGTTGTCTCGTCTCCGGCCACGACGAGAGAAGAGGGGCAGGAGGAACTCCCCTCTTCCCGAGAATGCCTTTTGTGTGTCGCAGAAGTCGCTATTGTCCCCCTACAAGATTACAGAAGATTAACCCGTCACTCGAATTTCGTACAAAAGTAGCCGCTTCGGTGGCTGGAACGACTAGGCCATCCTCTCGACGTCAGCCTCGCCGTAGCTTTGCTCGTCTTGAGACGACCTACATCACGATTGCGTTGGATGTCACGTGGTCTCCGCTGGGCCTTCTCCGAGCGCTTGCCAGAGTGGGCCGTTTATAACGAAAAATACAGCCACCAGGCTCAAAATACAAACGTGCGATTGTCATTTACGGATATTGTGGATCATATTCAACCTATTTTTGAACACGACGGATATATTTCAGATTTCGTTGAAGTATCCCTTTAAGTACCTCTAGTTCATTTTGGTACCAAGTTTCAGTTAGCATGATGATGCCAAACTGAAAACTGAACTCCTGTAAAAGTATATACAGTTTATCTTCCTTGTTCAGCGCGGAACATAAATTCGAATGAAAAAAAGATAGTTTACTGTCTTTACAAGATATAAATTTTGTGGTTATCTGATTTGGCATTAGTTCCGCTGAGAAAGCCATCATAAAAACAAAACAAAAAGGAAACAGCTTTGTAAACCGGGTAGAATAAAAATCAAACATGTCACACTAATTTAGCGAGGTCATCGGTGCTAGTGATAGAAACAGTTTTGGAGCTTTCCGTTTTGCGCATATAAATTTTGCCTCCCCTGGCCCAAGCAAATTTCCATTTCAGCTCGTGTTTTTTCGCAACTGTCGTTCCCAGGAGCTTTTTTAGTTCGGGGCACAAATGAACATTCACGTAGACAGCGTACGTACGTGACGCATGACCGAGGTCAGCAGTTGTCATTCGTTTCTTCCGTGCTTTTTCGATGACCGCGTGTCATTTGGAGTGAAGAATGAACTGAGCAATGTCGTTGGGACATGCTTATTGCTTGCCTGCTGGCACGCGGTGGCACATGTGAACGTCACTTTCCGCAATTGTTTCCTCGATCAGCTCGCCGATCTTCTGCAAAACAGCGGCCAAGTTTTCGCCTCGAACCTCAGTATCTCAGTATTTCGATTTCTGTAATATTGTTCACACAGAGTGAACATCTGGGCGTTTCGCTCAGCGTGTTTTTTGTGTTCTCGCATTCCAGTCGCAGCACAGCGTTCTCAATCTTCAAGCCGGTGTTTTCTCTTTTAACGGTGGTTACCTCTTTGCTCAGATCTTTAAAATCGTTGTTGAAGTTTTCAAGACTAGCTTTGATCTCTCTCAATTCCTTCCGTAAGTCCCTTTCAAAGGAGCTACGAAATTCGCGTAGATCTTGTTTAATTTCTTTTTTTAGATTGTCGCAGAGTTTTGCAAAGTCAGCACTCATTTCAACGCTTCAAGAACAAAAACACGCTAAAGACGCCAAAGGAAGCGGCGTCAGCGGATCGCTCAAAGGTTAAACGTGTTAAGAAAGATATTGAT